CCGCCTCTCATCTTTGCCTCCTCCTCAGAGCTCTTGACTTTTTCTGCAGCTTTTCTACTGCTACTCCTCAGCTCCTTCTTGCTGCTGTCTTTCAGCCACACCCCTGATCTTAGGGTAGGTAAGATCTAACACCTAGCCTTCTCGGATAAGGGCGAAAAAAAGGTCCTGTGTGCCAGCTGCGCACGTTTAAGATCCATTGGTGGTCCAAAAAGGATACGAGTAAGCTTTGGCAACCACCCGAGCAAAAGTCAAAATTAGTTCCTACCGAATTGAAAATGTTTAATGTGTCCCGTGTGCTCGTAGACCTTATGCAGCAGCAGCAGCACCACCAGTAACAACAACAACAGGGTAACAACATTGAAACAAAGACATTCTTACATTTCACGTAAGAAGCATTAAACTTTCGACAGAATTTACTTAATTGTGCCGTATACTCTTTTTGGGGGATTCCCTTTTCCTTTCGATACATTGTCATATGACTTAATTTAATTATTTGTTATGTCATGTGCGTTTGAGATGTCACCCTTTTCAATTCAACCATATTTGTTCAGGAATCAAATTTTTGAGCAGGTTTGAAGATTAGGCAACAGAAAAGTAAAGACCCAAGTGTTCAAACACATTTTGGGAAAAATAGTAGTTGTTTTAAGCGTTTTCCTATTGTCCTCGCTCCATTGAGTCACACGGCGAGCTGCCTCTAATAAGATTCAAAGAAAAGAGCGAAGAAATGGGTTGGGTCAGCTATGATTAATTCATAAGAAGAGTGCAAGGAGATTGCAATCTCTCAAACTTCAAACTTTTCACGTTTTGTCTCATCGGAAAATTGACGGGATGAGCATTTTGTCAGATGTGCAGATTACGAAAGGGAAAATGGAAACTAAAAATAGACAGTTGACGAGGATATATTGCAGCTCTGTCACATATAAAGCAGTGAGAGACAATGCCCTTGTATCTTTGAATTCGGAGTTAGACTCTTCCTCATTGCTGGTTGACAAGAACATACTACAGGTAGGTGTATTTCAGGTGTATGAATTAATGGATGCTTGACATTTAAAAAACATGTCCAGGATTTAAGAAACTACTACTGTGCAGTTCTTTTGTTACAAAGTACGTAAACTCACTCAGGTGCAAACACTGACACAAATGTGCTGCATCTTAGTGAAATTAGGCTCTCTTCAAAATAATAAAATTGAAGAATTCGAAATTTTCCCGCCTGTTTTGCAATTAAAAAAAATGATTTTTGTTTTTGGCTCAACATCTTTTATGTCCACTTAAAACTCATTCCAGCATGGATTCTATTGAAAAATATTGATCAAAGACAAACGCAATATGTGAATTTGCAGTTTTAAAGGATAGGTACAGCTTAGGAAGTAAACGAACTGTTGCAGCCATTTTCTCACTAATTATACCTCTGACACCAGGCGACTCCAACCTCCTTCAGTTGCGATTATCTCGACTTTTTTTTCAAGACAGAGAATGATATTTTGTTAATTAAAAACAAGGATAATGAACAGGCTTTAACTTTATACTAATAATTCCACACGCCTCAAAATAATATTGAGTAGCGCCTGATTCCACCGCATCGTGCTTGTATACTCATGCATACACTCGCAGCAGCGCACGAATTCTCTTTTTAGTGTTTGTTTTTCCTATCTGCCTGTCTGCCTTCTGTCTCCAGTCACCATCACCTTGTCTGTCTGTCTGTCTGTCTGTCTGTCTGTCTGTCTGTCTGTCTGTCTGTCTGT